ATCGTTATAACGTTTTCAAACACTATATGAACCCATAGTTGAACACAATCTCGATCATCCCACGCTGGTGATCGAGTGAAGTGAGGGGCACGGAAAGGCAGGGAAAAGGGAAAAACCAACCGTAAACAAATTTTAGGGCTCTCATCTGTTGTGAGGTGACATTCCAACGCAATTTCAGGAGTTTCGGAAGTGAGATTGTGAAATGCGTATAGCTCATGCAAGGAAAAGAGGCCTCGGTAGTCGCCGGCCGCCATCAATGTCTGCTGATATCACAGTACAGCGTTGAAACTAGTAGATTATAGATAAATATTTTCCCTTTTGAAAATTCTGATCACTGAAGGAATTTTCACCTGGAAAATTTTTATGCAAAGTTGCTTGTTTCAACGGATCAATGCGTGAAAATTTTACAAAGTTACTGAATAGAGAAGCTCATTTGAAGTAACACTGAATCTGCATGTCGTCGCGACCTGTTCCGTTTCCGTAATCGCAGTAGCATCCAAACTTCGCGCTTTCACCTTCTAGACCATTTATCTAAACAAAGTAATGAAACATAATTTAGCCATGACCGAAATATTGTTCTTCTAGAGGGGAGTCACATTAGGGAAGGGAACGCACAAGTTAGGACAGTGTGATTGCTTTCAGACAGTTTTGACATTGAGTGTGCTCCAATTTCGCCCACATACTTTGTGGTAGCCGTTCACTACCATTCCTTCCCTTCGACACACCAGTGGGATCAACCGCCGCGTTAATTTTTACGACCTCTTCCCTGCCCCTCCTATGAGATTCCTAATACAACCTACCTAAAGTTCAGGGTGGGCCAGAATTATGAGGACCGCGTGCGCGCTAGGTCATATCCACTTTTTTTCGAGTCGCTCCATTTTCATCTCCTTTTCTGTGCACTATGTGAAAGGGTACAATGTCTTCTTCCTTTTGAAACCAAATATCATGCATCATGCGTTCTCAGTGAAATAACTACATCACCTTACGTCAGTCCTCAAATTGAACTCACTAGGGCTCTGGCACGTTACATCTAGCGGCAGTCTAACGTATCAGGGAAGCTCTTATGGGCAACAGTTCAACTCTTCAATAAGTTGGAGACC